AAAATGTCCAAAATATGTATTATTGGAAAGGTAAAAGACCATTTTGCTTTTTTTGTGATGTAAATCATTTCATAAACCAGCTATCACCGATATTGGAATCTGTTACTGTCAGAATATCGATATTTTTTTCCTAATGTAAATCTGATAACGGCATAACATCTTCTGCAGTATCACAAGTAAAAGATAATCTTAATGTGCATTGCAGCAAACAAATCTGATCTGTGCCATAAAAAAGCCAGGCTCACTAATAAAACAGCCAAAATAAAAACCTGCAAAGTGAAAAAAATCAATATTCCCAATAGAGGCCATAATTAAGGCACTTGAGTAATGTCACATAAGAGTGGTCTCACTGGGACTCAGTAATGGGAGCAGTTCTGTCATCAAGTTTGTGTTTTATGCAACATTGACACGCCTAGGTCAAAGGTGTCACACTAGACTCATGGAAACTGTCATTGAGCCAACTTCATCGATTGTAACATAGAAACTATGAGGACAGTGGCAGCACCCCTGGATAGGGTATTTGGATATGAATATACACAGGACATTTTATATTGGGGAAACCTTATAATTACAATCAGCTCCCCCCACCCCATCTCCCATGTAAGCTCACAAGATGAGTAATTCATCTAGTTCCAAAAAATATAATATGCTCACCAACTAAACTTTTACGATTTTTAAAATACACATTTTTAGAACAAGAGGCCCAAGAACCTTACCAGTTGCCTGAGTATAATACAACACTGCAGAGGATAGAAGTATCAAATAAAACAATATAAACTAAAAGATGATATGTTGTATAAAAAGCAAATGAAATAGGATTATCAGGGATCAAAAAAATAATTAGTCTTGTATTCAGCAACAAATCTTAAAGTACATATACTTACTTGCCTGTACTTGTTCCCATATTGTCACTATCACCATGTAAACTAAACAAAACAATAGTGCTTGAGCACTGTTAGTAAACCCAACTAATTCCCTCTCACTTAGATTTTCAAAGAAATAATGCATTTTCACTATATAATCAATAGTCTCCTGCCCTTTAAAAAAACCCACCGAACCTGGGACCACAAATTTCACAATTTTGGAAAAGACACCCTTGCTCACCATAACCATGGAATTAGTTTTGTTGCTTAATACCCAAGAGCATAGAATAAGATTTTCAAAGAATTAATGCATTTTTACTATATAATCAATAAAGCCCACCTTAACACTAGAATCCCTTAGGCCAGGAAATTCACATTTTTAGAATAGGCATCCTTGGTCATCAAAACCATGCACGTAGCTATAAGCATTTTCAATATATTATCATATAAGAGCCCCTGCCTTAACTCAGGAACCCCTGACCCTGGGGCCATGAATTTCAAATTTTTGGTAGAGGACTTAATTGCTTATTACAATTATGACAACAGTTCAACTGCTTGGTGTCCAGGAGTATAGAAAAAAGATTTTTAAAGATTGCATTAATTTTGGTGGTTTTATCTCCATCCCTAGGCTCCAGGGGGACAGGGACCAAGAAACTCACAAGTTTTACCCCCCTTCCCTCATGCTATTACCAATTTTGGTTGAAATTGGTTCAGCGGTTCGGGAGGAGAGGATGAAAATGTTCAAATGTTAACAAACATTGCATGATGACGAACAAAAAAAGATAGCAAAAGGTCACCTGAGTAACTCAAGTGACCTAAAAATGAATTTTATTTCTTTTTTTTAAATTCAGATACAAGTATTCAGGTTAGAGATATCACTGAGTGCTAAGTTGTACAGTGCAAATATTGAAAATAGGGATCTTAGGAGTAAACAAGAGGCCCATGGGCCTCATTGTTCACCTGAGTCACTATGGCACTTCTGTTATTCATCATCAGTTTTAAAAAAAAAAACTCTCTCTTTAAGGTATTTCATTTTACCGCTTTTTGATGATGCAAGTACACAAAAAACCCCTCCATTGTTTTGTTCATTTTCCTGTGGGGACAAATCATACAGGTTCCCTCTGTTTATGATTTAAATCTTTAAAACCCTTAAAAACATAAACATGTGGTCACACATAGAAAACAAAGTAATGGATTCATCATGAATCACAAATGAAGAGGGATTGTTTTTAAGCAGAGACCTAAGAGAAGGACATCCAGATCTTCACTATACACAAGTAATGATCAATGTCACAGCAAACACAGCAAGCTCTACCATTTATAACTTACATTTCTTGTCTATTTTTAACTGGTTTTCCAAATAACTCTTATTAAGACAAAAAGCACACTGGTTGTTTTTTGGGACAAATATTTGTTTTCTATTAAAAATAATATTAATTATTATGAAGTGTTGTCGTTTTCTTTTTATGTCTGAAGAAGATATCCATCATTTGACACTGAGAATTCTGCAATTCTATAGATAAGAAGCTTAAAACAAAGCATATTTAACTTGAATTAGTTAAAGTGGTGCTGTAATGAAATATGAAATAAATTGCGAGTGTAATGAGCCTCCATAAGTCCATACAAAATTTTGATCCATGGTGTGGAATAAAACCTACCAATAGTCCTAAGGGGGCTATGATTTATTTAAAGTTGAAATCACACATCATTTAGAAGCATTAATATGACTAACATGGCCCTGCTGTTCTGGAAAAGATTATAAGCCTTATAAACAAACTTGCATGTAAACTATCTCAAGATGCTTGCATACCAATACATGTATGAGTAATAATTGCATTTTTGTTCATTGGAGCAAGATTTTCCCTATATATTCCAATGTAAAACTTTGATCTCTTATCATGGCCCCACTCTTCCCAGGGGTGTCATGATTTGAACAAACTTCAATTAAAACTATGTCAGGAAGCTTACATACAAGTTTCATCTTTTTTGCCCCAGTGGTTCTTGAGAAGACCTTTAAAGATGCCATTAAATTTTCATTAATTCTTAATAATCTCCCCTTGAAAGAGGGTGTGGCCCTTCATTTGAACAAACTTGAATCCCCTTTACCCAAGGGTGCTTTGTGGCAAGTTTGGTTGAAATTGGCCCAGTGGTTCTGGAGAAGAAGATAAAATTGCAAAATGTTTAAGACAACAACAACAACAAACAATAGACAAATTTCAATCAGAAAAGCTCACTTGAGCCTTCAGCTCATGAGAGCTATAATCAGATATATACACAACCAGTAACTTTTGTAAATACTTTCAAATAATCTTCATATTATAGAGACAGTAAGTGCCAAAGGGAGGTAACCTGTACAGATTTGTTTTAAACCATGCAAAACCAATATATCGATCAGTTGTCCTTCTTCTTATAATCTTCAGTAATAATGCAATTGCATTCTTTTCTATTTCAAAGAAAAGAATTGATACAATGATTCCCCTCCCTCTTTTTTGTCCTACCTTTACAAAATATTTTTTTCTATTTGTATTTATATCAATGCATTAGATGTTATAGTTTCATTGGATAATTTATTTTATCATGTTTGCTCCTTTATTCAGTGGATATAGCTCATAGGATATTGGTTGTGATGTCAAATCAAGTCAAATATTGTGGATTTACATATATAAAACAGTGTAAACATGTGATAGAATCTCCCATGGCTTGTGGTTAGATATGAGTTTATCCAACTTGTATTTTTAATCCCCTCACCAAGGCTCAAGGATAAAAACACACAGCTCGTTGGATAAAAAAATCATATCTAACCACACAAATCATGGGAGATCCTATACAGTTATGTTATCTTTCATTATATTTTCATTGAATTTCTTTTCAATTTTATCACAGTAAGTGATCAAATTAAAAATGCAGATTTTTAGGACTACTACTAAAAGTTTGACATCTCTTGAAGTCTATCATAGACTTAGTTTATTAATCATCTGCATTTGTTTAACCAATTCATCAGTTCACTTTCTCTATCAGTCTCTCTGGACGCCACTGCAAATCTGAAAATATCAACCACAGCAATGGGGGAAAAAAACTTAGTAAACATACCACTCTCAGGAGTTGCATCATCAACAGCTTCTACATCTACATCTCGATTTTCTACTGCATCTGAATGAGATTCCTTTTCCTGAAATAAAATCACTTTAAAATTAATTATTTACAGAATGTATAGGATGGGAGGAGACTTTCACTTCTTATTTGACCTACCTATTTTTGTTGTTACGCTTTTTTTATTGCTTTTTGCACAAATAATTCCATATAATAGAAAACATATTTGAAGAAAAAAATGCATGGAAAACATAAAGAGGAAAGATTTAAATGCTCTACACAAATGGACGGGCCAAATGGACTGTTTAACTTCAGAAAGTCAGAAATATGAATTTATAAGGCCTTCATTTAATTAATAACTGGTTAAATAATGTTAGCACTCCAGTGGAGAATAAAAATATTACAAGGCATTTAAATTTCACCTTCAATTCAAGTTTTAATTCATTATTTTGCATATACTGACATACATGTACATACATGATCAAAAACCAAACTAAAAAATATGAAGAACTCTCAAGATTAAGTTGGCATTTTAACTATTTAGAATATAATGTTTTGGCCCTTCTCATTCTGAAATTAAAACCCAATTCTAGTATCTAACAATTTGACATCAGGTCAAACTGTGATAAAAATCTTTTCCAAATAATGGACAAACAAAATACAAAGACTCAAGGCTTAAATATTAGAACACATTTCTAACATGTCCTCTTTGCTATTAAGATCTTTGTATTTAAACTTTTTAAAAGATGCTGTACTTTTCATTAATATTCTCCTTTAATACTTGTGCCAAATAAGAATGTAATCTTAATTTTTCAAGCATATTTTATGTGTACACAGGAAATTTTTCACTTCTTAAATCAGGAACTAAAAAAGCATTAAATCACATTAAGAGATAAACACATTTAGAAGACAATAAAACCACAAATCCAAGGTCATAAATGTATAATGAGAACTCTATACACACTGGACCAGGATTGTCATTTCAAACTAACATTTATTAGTACAAAAAATGTAAAATGAAAAACACTTAAAATCAGTCAAAATAAATTTACTTATTTTATAAAGCAAACTAATGGGGTTAAAATCCAAGAGAAATAATTTTTACACACCTCCTCCCCTGGCTCCATGTCCTGTTCACTCGGCTCCTCTATTGAGGTCCTCTGTACCCAATTGTATTTTCGCAAATTGATCGGCAACTTGAGTCTTTCATAGGCTGCATACTGCTGATTCAGGTCTGCGGCACAGGGTTTACATGCTATCACCAGCAGGCCTCCACTAAGAATCAGGGAGTCAGGGGGACACTTTATGTCTTTTAGGAAAGGAAATTTGGCTGCCTCTAGCATCTTTACATTTTTTCTATCTGTCGTTTTAGCACAAATGTAACACACAAAGTCAGGCATGACATATCTGCGATGCCACCGGTTGATTGTTTCAGCATTGGGAAACTCCTCATAATGGTTCCATTGCTTCAAAAGCATGTGGAAGCATATGCTGCAGACAATCACTGTTCCCTCTTCTGTCATTGTCTCTGCTCCTCTTGCTGGGCTGGAGTTTGTCAAAAATGGAAAGAAAGGCATCACCATTGTGTTGCTGCTTTTAGTTTCATGTGTGACAGGATAGGCATGTAAAACATGAGTGTTCATCATTCTTGATTTTTCTCCACACAAGAAGCAGATCTTTTTTGGCTTTGACACAGCTTGTTCTAAAGGATGAGGTATGGTTGTACCAGAACTCAGATTCTCGAATGGTCTTTTGAGCAGTGTAGACAGTTTGCTTGGTGATGTTGATGACATGACTGGCCTATGTTTTTCCTCAGATACAGCAATGGCTAAAAGCCCTTGAGAACTTCCACGGCTGCTTCCAGATGAACCTTCCATTATGTGGATATTCAGGGGTCGAGTTGCCTCTGATTTAACAACTGATCCCTTAGATTCTTGTCCACTAGCCCTGTCTGTGACATGAATTCGCTGCAAGTCATCTCGATGGCCTGCCTTTGCAAATGATAAGGAGTACTTGCGTTGGTAAACTGGTACCTGCATAGATTCTTGTACTTGCCATTGGTGATAAAGTTCAGCATAACAGTTTCGGCATGATAGAACAGATCCATCAGACTTCAAGGGCTGAGCACCCTTTGGACGTTGAAGCTCTTGTACAAATGGAAAGAACAAAGTTCCCATGGTAGGGTCATGAGGGGGCATAGTGTATAACAACCTGATCAAATCACTGCCATACAGCTTACCACACAAATAACATACATACTCATCAGTTTCCACTGGAGTTTTAGGCAGTCTCTCAGTATGGGTCACTGGTTCTGACTTAGGTACCTTGAGTTTTTCATCACAGAGTTTGTAGATGCGATTTTGAAATGGCACACCGGCCAGCTCATATGCCTGCCACTGCTGGTATAGCAGAAGCCTGCAGTCCCCACATACAATTGCCTGTCCATGCTGGTTCAGGGGAAATGCTCCCTCAGGTTGGCTGATTTTTTGTAAAACTGGGAAGAATGGTTCACTGGTTGAATTCATTGCTGTTGAAACATATTTACAATTCCTTACTGGAGTACTCTGTGCACAGATGTAACAAACAATTGTCTGTTCTTTCTCACTAGGTAAAGAAACAGGCTTTGCTTTAGAATTTTTTCGAACAGTCAGATCAAGAACTCCTTCACTTTGTGCACCCTTTGAGCTGACATTTGCATGGTGGACAGGGATCTCCTCACGAGGGAGACTCACTGATTGGCTGGACATCTTGGGCTTCATTTGAGGTTTAGCATCAGATTTGTAGCTCAGACTTTGTTCCCTGTGGCCTGTGTGGTTGTTACTTGGAGTTTCTCTTTCCTCCTTATGAAATGGTGGAGATGGTGGATAATCTCTTGTGTTATTGTCAGGTGATGCCCGCCCCTCAACCCCTGGCTGATAATTCAGACCCATAATTTGTGCAATGTATTCTCCTTGTAGTCTCATTTCAGCCCCTGTAAAATGTCCATTGTCTGCACGCTTCAGCCAATATAAGCGTTTAATTGCAGGAGTTTTGGACCTTTCATATGTCTCCCACTGCTGTGTCAGAAACGCATAGCACACCCTACAGCAGTCTACTGTCCCAGAGCTGGTGGGCAACCGCGCCCCTTTTGGTGGATCATGATGTTCCAAAAATGGAAAATAGGGCAGTCTGTCGTGTGGTTTGATCCGCAGCCCCGTTTCTGCACCCAGGCTACCACACACAAAACAAACATGTCGACCCGACATTACTTTTATCTATGATATCAAATGCATCGCTTCAGTGGAGTCCGTGATATTTAAATACACAACATGCTTACTGTCAAAAAAGTTTGTCGCTTCCATGTTTTCTTCAGTGTTGTTTTGATGAATTTGTAGACAAATTTTGTCACATGCTGACACTCATTAATTAATCTTATCACTTCCCATATTCAAATGATTTATCGTACTGTTTATAAAATCCGTAATTTGTCACTGATTCTCGATTTTAAAAACAATGAAATCGTAGTACGAGGGAATCCCTGTTTTTGGCGGCCATGTTTGGACATCTGTCTCTTCCCATAATGCATCTGCTATAAGAAAGTAATCCCGACAGGTGCTCTACTAGCCTAAAAATAGCACAGGCGAGACTCCCCATAACAGTTATAAAGCGCGCTTTACAACAAACATAGATGTTTAACATGTGTTGAGTATACTATTTTTGCTCAGATTGTCTAGGGACCCTGTGCATATATGCATATCAGATTTACTAGGTCCCTAGCCTTTAAGATCGGAGGAAATCCAAAGAGGCCTGCAGTGACATAGCTACCTTGTATGCAGCATTGCTATTCTCTGTTGAGAAGTTGTTATTCACAAATTCACAAAAATGATATAAACATAGTTTAACACTTGATAAACTAGGTTTGTCAATTGTAAACTATAGTTTACGAACTGTAAACTATAGTTAACGATTCGTTAACTATAGTTTTCATCTGTAAACTATATTTAACGGTTGTAAAGTGTAGTTTACGAATGCTAATCTAAGTTTATCTGTCTGTAAATAAACGTTAACAATAGATTTTACTGATAAATATAGATTCTCATTTGTAAACTATAATTTACATTCGTTAACCATATTTAAGAGTTGTTAATCATAGTTTCACAAATTGTGAAACTATATTTATCAGATAATTATGTTTTCCGTTCGTTAATTATAGATTTCGGTTGTAAACCATAGTTAACTGTCATTAATACTCATAAACTGTATTTAACAGACGTAAACTATACTTAACGATCGTAAACTACAGTTTTGAGAGATAAACTATGATTCAAATTTGCCAATCATAGTTTATCGTCATAAACGATAATTCACACTCGTAAACTATAGTTAAGAGTTGTTAAATATAGTTTATTAATCTAAACACCTGTTAAGGTCAGCAATGCTCAGTCATTTTTGTTTGATCAGCGCAAAGGGTTGGGAAGACGGCAAGGATAATTCCGTTGCTGATGAAGTAGATCACGAGAAAATGCCCTAATTATGATAATCTTTGGTCAGACATTAATAATAATTTGTGAATGCATGAACATCTCGAATATACGAAAGTCTATTAGGATCAAAGTACGGTAAAAAAAATTTTTTAAAAGGCGTTATATCGACTTTTCAAAAGGCGTTATAACGCGAAAAAGGCGTAATAACGGCTTTTGAAAAGGCGTTATAACGCGGAAAAAGGCGTAATAACGCAAATAAAGACGTAATTACGCCTTTCCAAAAGGCGTTATTACGCCTTTCCAAAAGGCGTTATTACACCTTTTAAAAAGGCGTTATTACGCCTTTCTAAAAGGCATTATTACGCCTTTCCAAAAGGCATTATTACGCCTTTCCGAAAGGCGTTATTACGCCCTTTTTAAAAGGCGTTATTATGCCTTTCCAAAAGACGTTATTACGCCTTTCCAAAAGGCGTTATTACGCCTTTCCGAAAGGCATTATTACGCCCTTTTAAAAGGCGTTATTACGCCTTTCTAAAAGGCATTTTAAAATACGTCTTTCCAAAAGGCGTTATTATGCCTTTTGAAAAGCCATTATTATGTCTTTGACAGGCCCGTGCTTTTGAAGAGGGGGGGGGGGCAGCCTCCCATAAAATTGACAAGCAAACAAAAAAAGGAAACACCCCCCCCCCCGAAAAAAATAAACTGCCAAAACTTGTGGGGAATCTTTTTCTAACTTTTCTTTTTTTTTAAGTGCAATGACTTGCCCGAGTTTAACCATACTGCAACAAAATGTTAAGGGACCAAGCAATCAATAAATGATTTTTTATATTTAAACTATAGCAAGATTATTCTCCCAAAAAGTGGGGTGGGGGAGCCCCCCCCCCCCCCCCCAATTGCATTCGCACTACCGGCCTGTTTGAAAAGGAGTTATATCCAAAAATGGAAAGGCGTTATTTTAAAATAATAAATATATGAAAGATTGAACCAAAGCCATCTTTATTTATGCAATATTTAGATTATAGTTTTAATATTATAAATTATATCATAAATTATAGTATTTTCTATATTCCTGAACAGCTGTTTGCATGCGCATTAAGAGAAGTCAACACTCTTCTTTTGAAAATCCAGGATATAGGCAGAGCCAGCTTTTGGCTTTGCTAGCCATGTACTAAAAATTCATGCATAGATATAATGAGCAATTAGCCTTCAACCAAAGGAGATGGGTGAACATGACGAGCGATAAGCCTACAGTGTGACAAACATGAAGATGAAAAAATAAATTTTGATTATATCAAAATTTTCTTTGATATGTCGTCTAATATTAAAATATTCTTTATGTAAAATCTCTACAATTTGCAAAAATCCCTCAAAGTTTGAAATTATTTGCCTGTGAAATATTAGACACACACTAAAGCGGGCAAAAGAGTCATTTTCTCATACTATAACACTATTTTTCAATATGAGTGGGTCTTCGCTCCACCTTTTTGAAAGTTAATCCTCAAAGTTTGCATAAAAATATACATATTTTGATTACCAAAAATATGGAGCAATGACCCACTATACCTTAAAAATATACTTTTATAACATAACATTCGCATCTTTTCGAGAAATACTTGGTCCATTAAGTCAAGGGTCATATCACAAACATGATTTAAATGTCACCCTTCATCAGGACTTGTGTAGTCTAGTGGTTAGCGTGCTAGTCTCGAAAGAAAATGATACTTAGGATTTTTATTGCTAGGGTTCGAACCCCACGAACACCACATTATTTTTTTTAATAAAAGAATAAAATTTGCCGAGAAAATTTTCCTCAGAAAAATTTGTTTATCATAATTTCATAAATTTCAATAATGAGAACTTTACTCTCAGGCCCGTAGCAATTTCAGTTTGGGGGGGGGGGGGGGCACAGCCATACATTTTCAGTTGAGGGGGCACTATCTACTACCAAAAATTTCTTAACAAGCAAAAAAAAAAAAAAAAAAAAAAATGAAAAAAAGGGCACCAGACGTTTTTATTGAGGGGGCACAGACATATAGTATCTATGTTTTCTATAGTAATATATATATATATCGGCAAAATTATTGGGGGGCACGGCCCCCCGTGCCCCCCCCCCCCCGCGGTTCCTACGGCCATGACTCTAAATACTAAATTCACAAACTGAACATTATTTTGATATATTTGAAGCTATAGGCTTTCTGCACGCTATGTTCGCCCATCTCCTTTCTGAAATCCATGCACCTTGGTAGAGGTGTCTGGCATCAGAGAAGGACTAAGTTGGTTTAACACTGAAAATATTTTACACATTTAAAAATCTTTTATCCTGGAAATCTAATTATAATCAGCCCCCAGGGTGGGCTAAGCAAGTCATGTATTGAAAAATAAGGGGCGTAATAACGCCTTTAGGAAAGGCGTAATAACGCCCTTTGGAAAGGCGTGATAACGCGTTTTGGAAAGGCATAATAACGCCTTTTGGAAAGGCGTAATAACGCCTTTTGGAAAGGTGTAATAAAGCCTTTTGGAAAGGCGTATAACGCTTTTGGAAAGGCGTAATAACGCCTTTTGGAAAGGCATAATCACGCCTTTTAAAAAAGGCGTAATAACGCCTTTTGAAAAGGCGTAATTACGCCTTTTTTGGCATTATAACGCCTTTTGGAAAGGCGTTATTACGCCTTTTCCCGCGTTATAACGCCTTCTCAAAAAGCGTCATTACCCCTTTTTTCGTGTTATAACGCCTTTTGAAATGGCGTTATAACGCCTTTAATTTTTTTTTTTACCGTAGTTTGATCCTAATAGGCTTTCGTACGAATATATTCAATTTTAACAAAGGGCTCATGGACCACAACGCTCACCTGAATCAGTTTGGCCCTACAGCAGATTTTTTTTAAATTTTCTGCTTCTTTTCATACAAAAAAGATTGACTCCATATTGTGGACCAAAATCTAGCCCAAGAAGAGCTATGATGTAATCAAATTTGATTCCACACAAAACTGGGATGCTTCAATATCAATACGATTAACAGGGCCCTGCTGTTCAAGATTTTTTTTGTACACATGCATCCGAATATTATTACGCTCGTTATTACTGTACGCTCCGAAATTCTGGTAGTCGCACTTTGTACAGCGACTACATAATTTAGCGTAAAAAAGTTAAGAATGTTGGATCGTTAAAAAGATCTGATTTTCGGAGCGAAATAAAGATAAAGTTTTATTCGGATTGGGAAAATGTTCATTTTTTAGCTCACCCGAGCCAAAGGTTCATGTGGGCTTTTCTGATCGAAATTTGTCCGTTAATTGTCTGTTGTCTGTCATTGTTGTCACAGTTGCATCTTCTTCTCCAGAACCAACTGGCCAATTTCAAGCCAACTTGACACAGATCATCCTTTAGTAACTTTATTCAAATGAATAACCATGTTCTCTGACAAGGGGAGATAATTTAGAATTAGTGAAATTCAATGGCATCTCTTAAAAACCTTCTCAAGAACCACTATGCCAGGATAGATAAAACTTAAATGAAAGTTTCCTGACATAGTGTAGATTGAAGTTTGTTCAATCATGACCCTCGGGGTCACAATTTTGGTGCCGCAATAGGGGATCAATGCTGTACATGATCAATGCTATACATAGGAAACAGCGACCAACAGAATTTCGGAGCGTAACTAAGATATGATTTTCCGCGATATACGAGGTATAGCAGAAAATAATTACCTTGTTTCGGGAAAAATATCCAATGTTTCATATTATATAACTCGTGTACCAGCGACCTGGTTTCTGAGTGAATAAAGAATCGAAACTAAGTCACGTGGAGACAAATGCCTGAATAATGTTTGATTAGCATGGCTATTCAGTTCTAGCCTGTTTGCCATATTGGATAATAATAACAAGCATAATTTCAGTTGAAATTTGAATAACAAGTTAACGTGAGTTATTTTATTATTTTTATTTTGTGTTGCACAAATTGCAATTGCTTTAGTTGCACTGCTCCTGTATTTATTTCAGGCTTCAATTCCATATATCATACATGCATATTATAAAGCAAAGGTTTCAAGGAAAAACATGTTTTCATCTCTTGTTTTCATCCGGCCTGC